TGTAATCTTCTTGCCCTCGCGAGTGATTCTGCTGACGGAGCTCTCCGTCTCATTCGCGGGAGGCATTAGAGGAGGTCTGGTCGCCATTTTGGCTCTTGAATGGATTTGAAGGAGATAGAATAACTTGATGAGATCAGTATATACGAGATCAAGAAATCACGGAGGTAGATGATGGCTATAGTGATGGCATCATATCGCTTTCGGCACTGACTTGTTTTCACATATATAATTAGATGGATAGGCGCTGTGTCGACAATTGACAAAGTCTTATAATATAAACGACCCGAAATTTGCAACAAGCGAGCTCCCTCCTTCCCGAATCGTTGGACTTAAAATGGTTTTGACAGGACGGTTGGACGGACTAGTCAGTTGGCTGACGTATAAAGTCTAGAGAAAGATTCGATGGAAGAAAAGTTAAAAGGAAAAGAAAATAGAGAAACATAGAACAAGAGAAAACCGAAAGGGCCGGATCTGTTGCGTGTTGTGTGAGCAACAGATGCGGCAGCCCTGGGCGCTGGAGGTGAGGGCGATGATAGAGTTGGATAGATTGAAGATGGAGAAGATATCAAAAGAGCGGGAGGGGGCATGGGACTGGGGGAGCGAGTTGCAAAAGTCGGCTGTGCCGTTAGTCGACTTTTGGCGTGGACTAGAGAGGTACTTTGGTGCTAAGTACACACTTTACCAGGGACTGTGTCGTCCATACTAACCGGCTGTGGTTAAATGTGGAGGTGATGATCAGTGACTTGAACCACAGCTACCGACCCTAGGGTAATCCTTCCGTCCTAGTTGCCTTTGCTAGGAGCCCACTCTTCTTTATTACCATGAAAGAATGAAGTGGCTGTCGAAAGTCACGACGAAGATAACCAGTGTGAGACATCGAGGACAAGCGACAAGCTGAGAAAAAGCCGATATTCTCATCTTCCACTAGAAGGTTCAGTGTCTAACACCTTATTAACTTGAGCATCCGGAATACAGTACGTACGGTCGAGGTACTGCGTATGGGTACGGAGTACTCCGTATTGTCACCTATGCAGCACTGATGCAGATACTGAGCCAGAGCAGTGGATCCTGGGTAAAGGTCTGGAAGACTGGAATGGGATGGTGGAGAAAAGAGGGGCAGCCATGACCGATCATTGGAGCCTGGAGAGGCCACCCATGCTTTAGGTTTAAGGCAGCGGTTAACTCGAATGAGCAGCCACTGGCAACTGGTAAGTCGAGGCCGATCTGAGCGCAGATAGCACATTCCATTAAAGGAGCATAGATAATTTACAATGCGCTATACCAGAGAGGGAGTCTGAGAGCGAAAACAAGTGACAGATCTATCATGTCTTGCTGAACAACTAGATAAAGATTTTTATTACCACGTGACTTGACTTCGGTGTTTGTTACTGCACGAAAATCAAGGATTAATTTCCCATTGGGCTCTGACATAACCCAGTCCAGCGGATCGGACTCTTTGTCTCTTCCCAAAACCTGAAGAACGGGACGACGAAGAAGTGAAAGTGGTCTATGCGTCTTAGGGTCGCCGTCTGCAGATTTCAGCCGAGAAATCCATGGCGCTCAGGCTTCATCACTATCGGGGTGGATGAATTCTTCTCCAATAATACAGGTACATCTGTAAGAAAAAAAGGATTGGAGTCAACCACGTTGTAAATCTGGGATTGATTACTCCATTAATACCTAGCTATTTGTCTGAGCATGCTATCTGTTCAGCACTTTTTCAATAGAGTCCATTCATGAATTCAGCTAGAGTGTCTTGTGATTCCAAATCCCAAATCCTACTCCTGCAAATCATCATCAGTTTAGGTCGATTTATCGGAGCGAGAAAAAGAGAATAACAATGCAGCTGGCAAATGGACCAGCCGTAGTACTAGTCATCAGGATCGGGGGTTTTTGAGAAACCGCAGTGAGACTGAATCTGCAACCTAACAGGCCAAATCGCCTCGCTTCTTCGGATGAATGCACGAGACAAAGTGAAGTCAGCACTAGCAGGGATATCCATGTCAATTTTGGCTGAAGGAAACACTTCCAATTGGGTTATGCAGTACACCCTTGTTAGTGTCGAGGTGATTTGATGTTAATGTCCGACCCGTCTATTTTGGTTAAAGCAGGTTTTGTTTGGTATCGGTCTTACATGAATCATGTTGCTTGACCGAGGTGATCAGCAGCAGACTAAGGTCTCGACAAAAGAAATCCCACGCGTCGATCTCAAGCGGAAAAAGAATCACCATCCTCTGTCTATACGATCAAGTAAGAGTAATGACAAGTCTGTGATAGTCCCAAAGTCCAACCAATGTCGCTCCTCGGCTTCTGTCATGATGATCATCATTTCTTGGGTATCGGACGGAAACTTTCAACAAAACCCACTTCTGGCGGTCCGCACCGAATAGTGAGACGGGCCCGCCTCAAGCCGCCCATGGACATTCCTCTGGTTGGTTGTTCTTTATCACCCATACAAAGACGGCCCAATCAGTAATAATAATACGGGCCTAAGGTACAGGTGGTTTCCTCATTCCAGACGTCTTCTAGACATGGAAATTGCCAAACATCACCTCATTGTGACACTGAGACATTGTCAACTGAGCAATAACCGAGGAGAGCCTCGTGCACAACTAACGACTGACCAGGGGGGCAGGGGCCTGTGATAGTCCGAGATCCGCTCTCTGTATCGCTGTGGATGAAACTAATACTACCTTAAGAGAGTTTCGTAGATGACTTTTGGTCTTCGGATTGTTCTGGATTGGGACATTGCTCCGGGAGATCTGCATTTTCTGCCTCAGGCTGTGTTACTGTTACCACCTCGATCACACCCGACCCGACGATCGTTGTATGGGATTCCAATTACGTATCGGTCAACACTAACTATCCAGAAAGGTATGCTGATGCAGCAGTAATAATAATAGTAATAATGCACCAATCTGTCGGTCAAGGAACGTGTCCTAGCCTAATTAATAATATTTCTTCTTCTGCAGCATCCAATCGTCATCTCCAGTATCTTGACGAACCAATCACAGAGACACATGTACGTAGTTCTACTGTTCAATAGTTAGTTAGCCTTGAAGACAGCTTACCAAGGAATTACCAAGCACTTTACCTAAACTAGGTTACTTCAGGAGTTCGGCCGAATACAAACAAAACTCGGCCAATGATTCTGCAAGGCTTGCACGCCATTCCCTTCATTTTGACATAATTCGAGATTCTAACTATGATTGGCCCTCCAGTCATCATCCAATAAAGGAGAAATCGGCCCATTCTGATTTCAGCTACAGCATACTCCGTAGACTCATAGCACAAGATACCATTGAACAAGTGGCTGATTTCCAGTTCTCAATCACAAAACTCGGGCACTCAGGCACTCAGCACTAGCAGTCCGCAGTCCGCAAAGGCAATCCCATATCTCGGTACGGAGTACCCCCTCGCATTAAGGATGAGCGCGATCGTCCAGGATGCATGTTTCTGAAGCATGTTGCTAACCAATACCCAGACTGTCGGGTCTATCCCAGATGAGTCTGAAAAGGAGATTAAGCATTCCAGCATTCCTGAATGTGACAAATCGCTTCTTTTAACCTTTTCCGAGCAATATACTCCTTACTAAGTATCTTTTGCTGCTTAATGGGGTGGACTGGGAGTCAAACCGCTATGGAATCTGTTCAGAATGACATGATACCACCCCTCTTACTCCGTAGTTTTGCTGATTAGGAATGAATGCTCAGCGCTATTGATGAATCATTACGGAGAAGTCAAAACTCCGAAGGCTCTTATGGAGTACTCGGTAGATAGGGTCTCCGTGCTCTCAAGCGCAGTAGCGCCGTTTATGCTGCACGGAGCTCACCCCTTTCTGCTTATCGAGTAACAACTTTGCTGTATTCTATCCAGCTTGCTCACCCTGATATATGTCATGATGTCAAGAAGGCTTTCGATTGCCATCCATTGGTATGATACCGCAATGTCATGAGCAAAGATTATGCAGTACAACCGTTAAAGCTGTGTGATGCTCCAACTCAGAAGCCAGAACGGGGTCGCCAAGCACCGAAATAAGGTGGTCGGATGCATGCACGGAACAGGTCGAGTCCCCAGATTCTACCCCTAGACTCTGGTTTATGTCTTCGAAGCGAGCCTAGCCATATTCATTGTAAGAAGCATTTCGGTGTCTCAAAGCGCCTGCGTGATTTGGCAGCTCTCGGCTAGCAGCAGAATTATAGCTGTCGATTCCTCAACGCCCCCGTTGTACATCACTCACAATGACACAATGACACAATGACACAATGACACAATGACACAATGACACAATGACACAATGACACAATGACACATTGACACATTGACCCCTATTAGCGCGCCATTTGCATGCAGAGTAATACCTCATGTCTGTTGTGTATCGAGTGAATAGTGAGCCCTCGCTTCTAGAGTTCAAATCTGTAACACGAAGCCTTGATCTCGAGTCGGGAAATGTGACCTGTCAAGTTTGCATCGCAAAGGCCTCGTATCCGAAGAACTAAGGTAGCACGGACAATATCTAATCCATCAACCGAGTAGGTTAGAGCGAGATCTCCGTCGGCTTTTACCGTCTTTTGACTGGGAGGGAAATTCTCTTCTTGGAGGTGATTCCGGCGTTTTATATGTGGCGGGTGTAGTAAACCAATCCCGTCTACAGATAACCACCATATCTCCGTACTCCACGTACTTTAGACAAGTTCGCTTAAAACCTACAACTCTATGAAACTGTTTACCCTACTCGCTTTTCACGATAGATATCTCTGGTTTGACGGCCGTTAAGTCTGTGCGCTTCCTATCCAACCAAGAGTCAAGACATGTCCACTCCTAGAGTCCCCAGTCTTCTTTCGATTTCGACAAGGAATAAGGATACAGTCAACAACAATGTCAGTCGACTGGCTGATTTAATGTCGCGGTATAACTATTCTTAGATTAAGCTTCGCGTATGACAGGGCCAACGGCGAAAGTGACCCGAAACACTATGACTTGTGTGCAACAGCGGATTCTCAAGCACTCTGAGCTTCAATGGCACGCGCAACAGCTATTTCCAAAGTATCCATATCCGGCGCATGGATCTTGCCATTGTCTCTCATCTCGTAAAGAGTCCCACCCTCCGTCCAGATCCTGCGCAAGGTAGCCACAACCGCCAGTGGATTATTCGCCTCCCAAAGCTCCTGCTCCAGCTGCTTCAGCTCCGTCAGCGACGTATACTCCCGCTCCCACTTGGCCTGAGTCTGCCGCTCAAACTCGGCTAGGATCTCATTTGGCGTTGTGGTGAATGAGTTGACTTTGAGCGCCTGGTTGCAGGAGGCCTCGTTGTTGATGATCGCCGCTACCAGGGCTTTGCCTACGCTGGGGATCGTTAGCTCGGATTACATCAGGAATAAGTCCATGCGACGTACTCGCTCATAGTTGTAAGGCTGATCCGCCCATTACCATCACCAAGTAGAACGGCTTTCTTGTTCGCGACATCGAACGTCCCCGCGCGAGGGCACTTGCTTGCATTCTCCAGGTAGAGGTCCGCGTACGGGCCCGTAACGAGGTAGGTGTGCTCGAGTCTCTTTACCTCCTCTCGGATAAATTTCCGCACCTGCAGCTTGAACTGGTGCGGCTTCTCGTGAGCCGACTGCGGCCCGTACTCGATGTCGGTGCCGTACTCGGACGGGAAGAATCGAATGACGTTCGGGCAGGACTCGGCGATTCGGATGAGGTTGATCTGAGCAGCAATCATATTTCGACCCAAGCAGCTTACGATTGTGTCGAATCCTGGGATCTGTGTCAGATTGAACAGCATGGTTGGTTTAGGGAAGAGCAGTGTACCTTGATAAGCTTCGCGAACGCGCGCTTCATCGGTCAGGTCGCCGACGATGATCTCAACTCCATGGTCTTTGAGCCATTGGATCTGTTCTTTCTTTGTATTGATAGTGTTCTCAGAGGTGAAGATAGCGACGCGGTCGAAAGAAGTTGGAGCAGCCGCTGCAATAGCTTTGACGATGTATCGGCCAATGACACCAGTTGCCCCAAGGACTAGGATTTTACGCAGTTGACTGGGCATTTTGAGTATAGGACACTTGATCCAGGTATATACAGGGAATTGAAGGCACAAAAGATTTCGTGTTGAGGAAGACAAAGATCGGATTTCTAAGCGGTATCTAGTGCGGGGATATCGGGTCTACTCCAGAGATGGTGTTTGCCTGCGGGGGCGCCAGCGGCCAGCTTACCCCCAAAGCGATATTATCAGGGCCAGATGGGACAGATTGTGTCTCAACGGCCATAATATATGGCCGTCCGACTCTGCCATGATGTTGGCATATTGAGGTTCTGGCTACAAGAGCAATGAATCCAGTTCTGACCCTTCACTCATCATTCTATGCACCTGGCTCGGAGGAGCAAGTCCTCGACGCATCAATAAATACGTGGCGCAATATCGAGCCCTTTTTCCAGCATCATCCATTCTTCTCATTACCACTACATTACCAGATATCACCGTCCGTCCCTTTAGCGTGCTGCGCGCGCGGTTGAAACCAGCTTGTGAAGCCATCTGCCGCATTTTCTCTCAGAAAACCGAGGATACAATTGGACGCAAGAACGATTTTCTGCTACATGTCTTCTCACACGGAGGATGCAACACGGCCATCCAGCTGGCGCTTTCCATGAAGGAAAATTCGGACCCAGACAGGTTGCATCACCTCCCTCTAAAAAGCGTCATCTTCGATTGCTGTCCTGGGGAAACCGATTTCCGCCGATCATACAATGCCGCTGTTCTATCTCTTCCTCAGGGTGGTAAGTTGGTCCAGCTTGTCGGCAGGGCTGTGTTGTACACGACCGTGGGGACGATCACCAGCATCCAGAACATGGGGCTTATGAGTTCTGTCAATAACCTGCGGCATCAACTGAATGACGAGGCGGTGCTGGGGCGCCAGGTGCGAAGGCTGTACATGTTCTCGCAAGCGGATACCACTGTCGACTGGCGCAATGTGATGTCACACATGGAGACGGCTCGAGAGCAGGGATATCAAGCTAATGGAGTTATGTTTCGGAACAGCCCGCATTGTGCACTGATGCTGGAGGATGAGAAGAAATATTGGACGAGCATTAAGCAGTTTTGGCGGGAGGAGGATCTATCGTACAAGGTTGATGGTCCTGCATCTGCTCTTGAAGGTGGCTCGACAGACAAAGACTGCTCATTACTTCGTAGTAAACTGTGAGAGTCGAGGAATAGCAGAGATGAATAGAACTCTAAATACTATACTCAGTGTTGTCGTTCAGTGATATCTTAACTATAGAGGTGAATCCAGGAATCTGATTGGCCGCCGGCTTGTCAGCGCAACAGCCGCAATTGCTCATCGCTCGCTCCCAACGTGTTGTGATCTTCTGCTCTCTTGACTCGGTCACGCTTATGGATCTGTTATCGGTCCTACCGGGCTTTCAAACACGATCATACGCTCATATTATACCCCCTCTCGAGCGAAACAGAATTACTCTCGTCGACCTCATCACCCTCGATAATCTCGAAATCGCGAAACGCGCTCACGTTCCCCCCGCGGACCTTCGCCAGCTAACCACTCAACTTGTCAAGGCGTTGCACAGAGATGTTGGATTTGAAGAGGCTTGTGATGGGGACGATGCTGACGAGCCGAGCTCCAGCAATGACATCGAAAAGACTCTCATCCCTGGTCCATCGACCAAGCTAGACTTGTCGCGATGGAGTGCGATCAGCACTTTGGACCCCGCGTTGGATGAGCTACTCAATGGTGGTCTGCCGACCGGCTATTTGACCGAGGTGACTGGAGAAAGGTGACCTACCGGACGACATACGTCTTGTTTGCTATTTCTGACTGTGCGAGGATGTAGTGGGAGCGGCAAGACGCAATTTCTCCTCAGTCTCCTTCTAGCGGTGCAACTTCCAGAACCTCGAGGTCTCGGGAAAGGCGCCATATACATCTCGACTGAGGCTCCGTTGGCGACATCGCGGCTGTCGCAGCTCTTGGAGTATCATCCTTACCTTTCGACCCTCCCGAAAGACCGCGCCCCGACACTGGAGAACATCCTCTCCATCAACGCGATGGACCTGGAATCCCAAGACCATATCCTCAACTACCAGTTGCCCGTTGCGATTACCCGCTACGATGTCGGCCTCGTGGTCATCGACTCAATAACCTCCAATTACAGAGCAGAACATACATCTCACAACGTTTTGGGCCTGTCTACACGATCCAGGGAACTGGCAAGACTGGGCCAGATGCTGCGCAACTTAGCCGTCGCAAAGAAAATCGCAATTGTCGTCGCAAATCAAGTCTCGGACCGCTTCGATCCGCTCGAGAGTAACGCAGCATTGCGGCGCGCCGCCGCATACGGAAATACTATTGTCTCATCCTCGCCCGTATCGACACAACAACAACCGACGACACCTCTACACCGCGATTTAGCCATCGCTTCACCCCTTCCCGCTGCCCGATCCAGGCCTCCAGAGTCCGGCAATGCCGAACTATCTCCTCATATCACGATCGCACCGCCGTCCTCATCGCCAGCCTTCCCATCCTCGCCGTTCATGGCGGACGACAACCCGTCCGAGCAGCAGCCGCAAGACTTTGACGGGTCATACCTGATCGGCAACCCTGTGCGCAATGAGCTACTGAGCCTAATGCACCAGCAACGATTCTTCACTGGGTGGGGCGATACGCCGCAGGCTGCCGCGCCGCCTTCACCATACTACTTCTCCCGGCAGCCGACGCACAAGACGCCCGCGCTGGGGTTTGTCTGGTCGTCCCAGATAGCGTGCAGGATTGCCCTGAAGAAGGAGGAGATCGCGACCACCCTCGATCCTTCTTTCGAGCCAAAGAGCACAGACCTGTTGTCGCCAGCTTCACAGCCGCACGAAGCAACTAGACCGACGCCAGACAGTAAGGAGCAACAAAGCGATCACCGCGTCTTGGAAACAAGCTCAGATGTCCCACCCGTACGGCGACGGATCACGCCCCAACTGGCAGCACCGGACATAATTCCCCCTCGCACGCTCCGAAGAACTATGAAACTGGTCTTTGCGCCTTGGACCGCCGGGAGGGTGACGACTACCGTCGACAAGGACGGGAACTCCACCGTTTACGTCCAGGATGAGGTTGAATATACCATCTGGAAGGGAGGTTTGAGGAGTGTGGAAGCGCAAGAGTAGACGATAGTCAAGAATTAATTCACCCGAAGCTACTGATCCCTTAGCATCTCTGTATATCTCTGAATATTGGTAGATGATTTATCAATGTACCATAGTTTACAATGAAGAACTTGGCTGCCTAGACTCGGTCGCTCTGTTATGTATATCTCCACTAGTGCTAGCTGCGGCGGGCGGCGGAAGCTCTTCTGCGTCCCCGCATTTGTATTCCTTGTTTTCTCCAGCCTTACGACTCCTCTACCCATATTCATTGTCCTAAGGGATGAAGCTTTGTGATCGCTTTCTGGATTGACTAAATTCACCTGTGGTCTAAAGAGACGGACTTTGAATACAACAAGGACATCCACAAATCTTCGCTGGAAAGCAGAATATATGCTATGAAAAAGGGTTAAGATGATCTAGAGCACATGGCAACCAAACAGGACTCCCCGATTAAGAATGATTAACGGGCAGGAGTCGACATCGACGGAAAAAAAAAAAAAAAAAAAAAAAAAAAATAATAATAATAATAATCTTTTTGCCCCCTTCCAGATACGCCTTTCATTTAGACAACTCACATTCGCTCTATGATATGACGAGTGCCCGTGTCGTGGTCAGATTCGATCCCGCGAGAGCACCACGGAGCGAGGAACTCGAAAAAAAGAGAAGGGAAGAAAGAAGAATAAGGATCTATGTACTGACGAACAGAGACTCTATTTGGCGGGAATCTTGGCAGGAGGGACACCGATGCCGTTGATGTTGCGGTAGAAAAGAACGTGCTGGCTTTCGCCCTTGGCGCCCTCGGTGGGCTCAACCCACTGGCAGGTGCGAGCGCTGGTCCAGAGGGCCTTGAAGAAACCAGTCCAGCCGGTGTGAGCCTCGCTGCGGTAGTGCGGTCCCATGACCTTCTGGATGGCCTCGCTGGCCTCATCAGCGTGGTAGAAGGGGATGGTGCTGACATAGTGGTGAAGAACGTGGGTCTCGATGATGCCGTGGAAAATGTGGCGACCAACGAAGCCGAAGTCACGGTCAATTGTAGCAGCAGCTCCACGAGTGAAATCCCAGGCCTCAGGCCGGTAGTGGGGGAGGGTGGGGTCGGTGTGCTGAAGGAAAGTGATGGCAACTATATTTGCAAGTCAGCAAAAACCTGTTCCATGCCGTGAAAGGTGGTGGACGAGAGGAACTTACCGAGCCAGTGGTTTACCCAGAGATAAGGAATGCCGTACCAGACAAGGAGGTTGAGCCAGCCATAGGTCGATCCGATATAGTAGAGGAGGCTTCCCACAAGGAAGAGACCGAGATCGCTCAGGACGATCAGCTTGGCATCCTTGGCCTCATACAGAGGGCTGGAAGGGTTGAAGTGGTTGACACCACCAAAGTAGCCGTTCCGCTTGCCCTTGCCGCGTCCCTCGGGCTGGCGCTCGTGGTTGTTGTGGCCGGTAACATTGGTCAAGAGGTACATGGGCCATCCGAACAGCTGCTGGAGAACGAGGTTGGTCGCGGTCAGGATGGGGGTCTCCTCCATCAATTCACTGAGCTCATGAACGGCACGGCCGATGCGAGAGGCATATTCTTCCCTGGTCTTGGGAACGAAGACCATATCGCGAGCAATGTTACCGGTGGCCTTGTGGTGCTTGCCGTGGGAGATCTTCCAGGAGAAGTAAGGGACGAGCAGAAGAGAGTGGCAGATCCATCCAACAGTGTCGTTCAAGACCTTGGAAGGAGAGAAAGCCTGGTGACCGCACTCGTGTGCCAGAACCCAAACACCGGTTCCGACCAGACCCTGAATGATGGTGTAAATGGCCCACAGGACGACGCGCACCGGCATGGAGGGCACGGTCTCGGGGGTGACATAGTTGTGGAAGACATAGAAGACAGTCGCAAGGATGGCCATGTCCCGGAAGACATAGTACAAACTCGTGACAGCCGAGCGTTGGTAGCAGTGAGCAGGGATGGCATCCCGGATCTGCTTGATGGTGTAATCGGGAATCTTGAACTCGTTACCATAGGTGTCGATCATCTTGCCGCTGGTGTTCTCGGCATCCGAAGCCATTGAGGAGAGCGACGTCGACGAAGGGGACTGACGAGGACTGTCGAAAGGAGAGTGAGAGACGGAGCTGGGGACGGAGGAGTCCGTGGTTGGGTTGCGATGCAGCGCAACGCGCTTGGGAAGAGCCGTCGAGGACATGTTGACAGGACCGAGCTGCTGGTGTAGACTGGGTTGGTACGAGGGACGAATACTGTCAACCGTGTCAGTCCATGCAAGAAAGTCGCATATGATCGGTGGCCAATATCAAGTCAATGGGAAGGTGAAATGATGGAAGACGTCAAGGACAAGTCTTGGAAGGACCGAGAGTACCTCCCTCGTCGACTTGACAAAAAAAGGTTATGTGAGGGACAAGTTCAAGCTACCACTCACCCAGTGAATCGGCTTCAGTGGAGGATTACAAAGTCTCGAAGCCTTTCTGACTTCTGTGGTGGAAGGCTGACAAGGTCAGAAGGATAAAGTGAATGATCTGGTCGTGAATTCCTCTGCACTCCTTTGGACAAAGCAAGAGGAGGTCAACAAGGAGACAAGGAGGAGGGAGACTGGCGGTTAAGAGAGCAGACCAGCAACAGAGGAGGAACAGAGGAGGGGGGCAATAAAGAAGATCACAGGGGATGAAATGGCCAAAGAAAAACAAACGGACCGAAATTTCAGAAGGCAAAAAAAAGAAAACGCGACGAGAACAACCTATTCCCGTGTCCCCAATTGATTTGACGATCTGATGGATTTTGGGATACCTATTTAGGTGGTAGACATTCAATTTGATAAAGCCCTTCCATGGGTTTGGGTTGGTATTGGGGGGTAATTCTCAAGTGGAGAGCATTGACTACCACGGTAATTTTGACCATATCCTTGAAGAACGATTGGCCGGTGAGCTCTTTGAGCACGGGTAACCCCTGTCATACCAATGCAGGTTTTGACATTTTTTCAATTCTGGATTTTCTTTACTTTGAAAATCTGTAAAATTCGCCCCAGACGGCGACCTGGGTTTTGAGAATGTGATGATCATGGATTCAAGTAAGGTGGTATCTAGCCCACCAAAGCTGGACGCATTCATCAGCAGTCAGCACTCGGCTAACCAGTCTGTCAAGTCTAGTCCTGTGCAGATCGCCGGAATGGCCCATATATTTCTTGCTTCGGTTCTCCCGAGGCAGCATTGGCCATGATTGGCGTAAGGAGTACTCCGTAGCTGCATTTGAGTTCAGCTCGCTCTTGAACTGCAGTTTGCATATGAACATGCGAGTTCTGCAGCTCAGGTGGGATTGAATGCGCCACTTGTCTCTATCTCAAGTTACGAATGATACCTAGACTACTCCGCAAGTCATCGACAGATGACAGACTCTACTATCTACTATCTACCTTCTCACCAATCAACGTTGAGGCATTATCGGCGTCCGATAGGTGTTCCGAATCAGGCCACCTTGAGCTTGAGCCGTGGTCTCTGGCTAAATCAATTCTAGAGTCTATACTCCCTAGTCTACCTAGGCCTTATTTTCTGTAAGCGATGTTCAGCCACAGCTGAATGGAAATGGGTTCTATGAGATTACCATGTGGCAGACATGGGGGGCAAAGGGAAAAATACTAGTGGCATTCCGGACCAGGTACAGATACCGGGGTGGCGTCTCACCGCCTTTTGAAAACCCAATCGTACATGTTAGTGATGATCCACTGCCGGCCAAAGGGAATTGGCTTCTCAACAGTCTTGGCGTGCACGAATCCGTATCATTGCCTTATAGTGCCAGCTCAGGAAGGAGAGATCTTCTCCGAGGTATCATATGCAATTCTCCAACGGAGTAAGTATGGAGAAAGTGTCTGCGGCTTTGCCTGCGGATGTGTTGACACTTGACTCCTTGTTCTTACTTGGACGGCATTATTTAAATACTCCGTAGCGACAACTGACTTGTAAATCGTGGGGTCGGAGATGATTCGGAGTATAGGTAATAGATCCATACCAGTTCCCCATTGACCTTCTAGAACATCTCCAAGTTTGACACCGACTCCAGAGACCAAGATTTCGCGAACATCATCCCATCTCAATAGCATGTGAAACTCATCCTCACTCTCACATGAGTGGGATTGAAACGCCATGAACGCCCTTGCTCAGACTTACTGCTAGAAACAATGTAGCATCCTCCATGTTGAACCGAGCTTACTTGATGCAAGCGATGGCTTACATAATGCACAAAACAGATCAACCTCAGTCTCACCAATAGCAACCGGCCTAGACCCGTCAAGGTTTAATGTCGATCGTACTAAGGCGCGGCTAGCTTATAGGGCCTTGCTAGTGGTCACTGGTCTACTCCGGACAATTGCAGGCGTCAGGTTTATTCTGTAGATACATTCTTCCTTTCGACCTTTGTAAGATTCGTGATCGAGGCAATGCATGTGATGCAGACCTTGCTTACTATGGTAATATCATAGTAGATCACGCTCCGATCTTCTCGGAAAGCTCAACAGGTCAGTAAGGAATGCCACGACATGCCCTCTATCGATTTCTCATGAATAGGCAGTCTCAATGCTGGCATTGAATACCTCATCACTATGCAATGGACTTCTCTGAAAAAGATAGACCAAATCTGTACGGAGTACGGAGTAATCACCAGAGATCTCGGGTTTGATTTCTCATTCTTCGTCGTTGCGTCCGGAGGAAGTCGCAGTAAACTGTTGGGGCGGAGCCATTTTGTTGAGGATGGGATGACCCGGTGGTGGGTCTGTCTGACTTGCCAACAGCCAAAACTAGAATTTCTTGTGAAGAGGTTAAAAAAATACAATAATCAATTAACTAAAAGCGGATGCTTAGTCACCAGTGGCCTTCTGTGTATTTTTCGTCCTTTGCAAATTTGGCCCTACTATGGATATTGAACTGGTGCACAGCCATTTGTCTATCTATACTTTCATCTTGATATCTCCATGCTGGGATCGCTAGGTTACACAGTTACAACATCATTAACATCATCATGCATGTACCTCATTTCGACTCTCTGAATTTATCAACCACGAGCCCCCATGCCCTCCCCCTGCTGGGCTGAGACTGACTGTCGTCTGCCGTAGATCAGGGAGCACCAACACAGTCTCTCCATGATTGCGGTAATCGATCTCGCTCGGGATCTGTCGTCGCTGCAGGGATGGCGCACCACCCGCAGCTGGATTTCCCGGTTGGCTCGTCGTCGCCGTAGAGGGTGGCGCCGCGGGGACGTAACTTTTGATCTCCAGCCCCGGAAGGAGGAGATGGCCCGCTTTTTGGGGGAGTAGCATGACGGCAAATGTTTGTGTTTTGTTCTCAGACGCGACAAAGTTTCCTCGTCTGCGTCCTCCAACGAGCCACAGTTCCGGGTTGGCATGAATCTCGTAGGAAAACTCCAGCGTACCCCCCGCGTTCTCGCGAGTCTCAGGCGAGCTCCATCTCCGTGTATGACGTAGAACGAGTTCGGCCGCAATCATCTGACCGACGGCCGCGTGTCTCGGCTGATCAGCGAGATTCTTGAGTCGCAATTCCGCGGTGTGCAGTACTTGGATCTCGGGTATGTCAACAGGGATCACGATTCGACGACTGAGTATCGTTGGCTGTTTGGGTAGCGAAATGATGGGATTGTTCTGGTCGGATGTTAGTCGGCACTCACATCGAGTCATATTGGATAAACTGCACTCACCTGGTGCCATGTCATGAGCCATGCTTTTAAACCGTCGACTGGCTCCTTGAGTGCACCGAGCAGTCCATCCCATCCAACATTCGCATATGACAGCGTCCTCAGCTCGCGGATGAGCCCGACCACTTCCATGTCTGCAGTTGACAGTTGCGTGCGGAACGCTTGCACAATATGAGATGTGAGCAAGGTGGTATACTGGCGGAAATCACTGTCGCCAATACTGCTCTTGAACCTCGATTCGACCGCGTCCAGACATTCGTCGTCCACACAAGTAAACTCGACACTGAGGCGGAGAGAGCGTCTTGAACCTGGTGAAGTAACACTATCCTTTCGCTGCTGGATTCTGTATAATAAGGACGCTGGCTGCTTTGGAAATACGTCCATTGCCACGGAGTCCTTCACGTGCGACTGAACCTCGTAGACATCGGAGCTGGGGATACTGCATTTTAGAATTCGAAGGGGGATCATCATCGCTGGACTGACGGTAAATCGAGAGAAAAGAACTTGGTCCTTGAAGATGTCTTGCACGTTGACGCTGATCGGTAGAGCGGAAACAATGTTATGAAGAGAACTGTAAGAGAAGCGACCGCTCTCCGTCTCGTAGGAGACCTCTGCCCTTGTGGACAGCATCGGATGAACCTCTTCGACCGTATAAGGAATACGAAGCCGCAGTATGGACTGCGGTTCCAACTGCGTAATCCCAATGTTCCCAGACTCGCTATTTGTGGAGATGGTGACACTTCCTTCCACCACCTCTGCCTCTGCTACCCTCAGTCGAAGACCAGCCGTGGCAGGCCGTACGCGAATCGTGCCAGTCTTGACGTTATTGCGCCCGCTGTAGAGCTCCAGCTCGAGCGTCCGCATTTGCTCCAAATTGACTACATGAGGAGATGTGATCTTGGCCTGCAATCCCTCGGGTCGTGGGAAGCAGTAGACATAGGGCCGACTATCGACCTCTTCGGCGTCGAGCACCTCCCTAAAGCCTACAGGAAGGGCCGGGTGCGTTCCGCCGGCTAGTGTGAAGAGGATGTTGCCAGCTCGCAGTTCCAGGCGGTCCACAAAGTACTTTCCTTGCAAAGTAGCCTTCCATGAGTTCAGTAAATGTAAGAAGTTTCGATGGGTCGAAAAGGCTTACCGTAGAGTCAACGAGAACCTTCGTGGGCGACGACTTGATAATCGCCTTAGTGGCAGTTTCTATCCAGTGCTCGTTGCTATGCGGTCCGCTCGCACTGACAAGCCGCACCTTCATCGAATCAATCTCGATTCGTTTTCCTAGTAAAAACCGCAGGCTAAGTTGCATCTGAAATCCATCCTTGTCACCGTAATGAATGATGATCGGTTTCACCTCCAAGTCTGCAAAGAAGTCGGCGAAAGGAGCCGAGACTTCCTTTTGAAGCGTGCCAGAGGCTTCGAAGAGTTTCTCCACGTACCGGGAAACCGGGCTCTGTTCCGTAAAGATGGAAGAAGCGTCGAGCGTCTTCTCCCGCGCAGTCA